TGGGGCAAAAAAAAAATAAAAAAAAAAAAAAAAAAAAACATATATATATATATGTGTGTGTGTGTGTGTGTGTGTGTGTGTGTGTGTGTGTGTGTGTGTGTGTGTGTTTTTCGCATAGGTGCCGCATCAACGCCCAAGGCGGGCGCTGCACCACATCCACTGCTATTTTCAACATCGGGGCAGCGCCCACTTCAGGTGGAAAAAGGTAGTTTTCGCTAGGACTGAACAATGAAACCGCAAAATCGAACCGAAACCGTTGATTTGGTTCTACGTGAATCCGTCAACGTTTTGATTTTGAACCAAACCAAACTGTTTCGAAGCGGTTTGGTTTAAGTTTCGATATTTGCAAACCGTTTCAAACCGCCAAACCGTTTACAAAAAAAAATCTTGAAAATAAATTAATCTAAATTTTATTTAACCCAATTAAATTTTAACACGTTTCAATTAAAAAGATACATCTACATTAGACATAATTCAAGTTAACTCAAATCGATAATTTTACATCTAAATTAATTAATTAATCATATACAAATATTCATGAATCATCATAACTGTGAATGTAAAACCCTTAAATTGGGTAAAGTGTTGAACAACTGATGCTAAACCACATTTATCGATTCTTCATTACAATTAGACAAATAATAAAGTCTAGATTTTAATTCAAACGTGTACATTTCATTTTCTTCTAATAATTTTTTCAAATTTTGCTCGAATTCAAGTTAGATTACCAAAATTCTTTTATTTTTTGGTAATTTGTTTTTATATTTTAATTGGTAGTTATGTTATTTTGTTCTAATAATTGTCAGTTTGTTGGTCTCTCTTAAAGTAATTCACCAATATTTAGATTTAGTAAAAATTTTAAATGATTCACAAAAATCATAGTAGCTAGATACTATTGTATTGGAATTTTTTTAATCATTTTCTTTTATTAATTATTTTATATAATCAATGAATTTATGTACCATATTTTTATATTAATGAAGAAAATTAATCATGTATTACACTTGTAGATGAATGCTATTAGTATCGACTAAGAGTTTAAAATATTTATATCATATTGTTGCATTATAATAATTATAATTATATAACGTTGATTTGTAATTTTTTTTAACAATACAATTTATGTTTTAACATGAAATTTTAGACTAATATTTTATGATTTAACTTATTTGATTTATATTAAAAAAGAATTTTGTTAAACCGTGATTTTAAACCAAACAAAACTAAAAAAAAATGGTTTGGATTGATTTGGTTTAGAAATCGAAGTGGTTTGGTTTGGTTTGAAAAAATTTCAAATCGCTTTAAGTGGTTTGATTTGAAAATTTGTCTCAAACCGTCCAAACCAAACCATGTTCACCCCTAGTTTTCACCTCCTTCAGTATTTTTGCCATAACATCTTCGTCTGATGTCTGATTAAGGTGATTCAAGATGCGTTGGAAAGCTAACTCAAAGGACTATAACTTTTCTTCAGATATTATTCTCCAATTCGATTGTTTACTATATCAAAAATGGGTCTCAATATGAAGTTGAAATTCTGGAGCATAACTTTTCGATTGTAAATTGATTTGTTATCATATTTTGCTTAAATTTGATCCCTTTGACATCTTTCCTCATCCAATTGACTTCTAGCACTCTCAGATCTTCATCTGAGATTCGACACAACTTTTAAATATTTGTACTTTAGTCCTCGAACTTTGAATCTCTTACAATTTGGCATTTTCTCCAATTTCTCTAACTTTTGCTTATTTTATTTAATTTCATCAACCTACATCACAACGTCAAAACACACACTAAAAATTTTAAAACACTCTCAATGGTAGCAAAATAATGAATTAAGTGGTATAAATATAATGAGTATGGAGCACTCATCACAATGTCTTATAGGTGTTCAATATTGAATATGCACTGCCCATTAAATTGATCAAATTTGTAAATTCGTTTTTCATACTTGTACTTAATCGTCCACTTATGCAAAGTTTGGATATTTAATACAATTTTAAACATTGACTTAGATCGTAAGTCTTGTGACTTGTATAAATCAATTTAAGTAAAATCTATGTTTTTCATTTTATAATTTCAATTTTTCTTTTCCTTTTTTTTTTTTTACCTTTATTGAACTCCCTATATCAAAGTCAAAGAAAATATAATAGTTGGACGCTTCTTGATTTAGAAAATAAAACAATTATTTTATATTTAATGTTTTTCGGATTACAAATGTTGACCTCGAAATTCGACTAATATGGTCAACAGAATTTTGACTAGAATTAGAAAACATGTTAAACATATTTTGACAAAAAATTGTGATTAAAGACAAGATTTGTTAGTTAATACAAGATTAAAGATAACAATGTGATGAAAAATATAAG